ACTGAGCTGAGTAGAAACCAAGGCTGATTGCCGAGACAGAGGCCTTGTCTTTGGGCATGTTTTGTTGTTGTTGTTATGTGCCGTGGAGTCATGTGCCAATTGCACTGTCTCTGACACTCCCATCCCGATTAGCCCAGTCACCGAATCAATCCACCTCATAGAGGGCCTTCCCCTCCTGCACTGTCGCTCCACCCTCCCCAGCATGATGTCCTTCTACAAGGACCGGTCTCTTCTTACAACATGTTCAAAGTATGTTAGATGGCTGTCCTGATCAAAGAACTGTATCTTGAATTGTTCCTGACACTAAATTGTAACTTGATTCCCTAATACACTCCCCAAATGAGTTCTATGTGCCACTGTAACAAATTTGCGAATCCCACAGGAAAGAAATGGGTGCTGTGGGAGTGACTTTTGGTGTCAGGATTTAAACAGGGGTATGTCTGATTTCCTGTTATTGGAATGGACCTTGGGCTATTACTGCTGTTGATTTTGATTCTACCTTCTTGTGAAGTTAAAGAAGGTCAGAAGATGCAACCTCCTATAACACCACTCCCCTACCTCATTTTTAAATGAAAAGCACTTGGTATATGGTTGACTCACATTCCTCCTAATTCTTGGTTGTGTGTGCACTGTTTTTCTTCAGTTGTTCTTTAGGAGTCCATTGTTAACCTGTCCTCATTATAATTCTTTCAACTCTTCAAAATTGTACTGTATATAGTGAACTTTGTGAAATGGAATATATCCATTTATTATATACTAGCAATTTTATGATTCATGTAAATGCAGACTAAACATGCCTTCGAACAGGACTGGCTAACATTGTGACAATTGGAAATCCCCAAACACTTAATTGTGTTATGTGAAACCTATACCTAGACCAAGAGACTGCTGTAAGAAAAGAACAAGGTTCCATACCTATTAATCTGTTTGCTGAGCAAATAATTCAAGAAATTGGACTCTACTAAAAAGAATGTAGCATCAGGATTAGAGGCTCATTAACAGTATGTCCATGACACAAACTTCCTTGCTGAAAGTAGACTTGAAGCACTTGCTGCAGAAAAGCAACAGCATTGGCTTAGTGTGCATCCTATTGTGCTGCTTACCACAAGGTGAGTAGTTCAAATCCACCAACCACTTCTCTGGAGAAGAGATGGATAGTGCCTTCCTGCTTAGATTTACAGAAACTCAGAAACTCCATAGATAGTGATTAGGAGGCAAAATTAACTCTATAAGTGGTGAGGTTTTTCTAATAACATTGTTTTGTAAAATCTTTCTATATTAATTAAGTTGCAATGTTATTCATTACAACACAGAATTGAGTGGAAGGCATCCCCCCACTCCTTTCCTTTAAGCACTACTTGATATTTAAAAAAAAAAAAAAGATACGGGTTCAAAAATACTGCTTATAAAAAAACTTATCACAATTAGGCGCTAAAACACCAGAAGGTTTGACAAACCAAGAACTATGAAAACACTGGGGAAGTCTGGTCGCATGATCCACAGTGAGCTGCGGACCTAACCTAGAGGCAGCACTGTTGGACGCTTCCAGGGAAGTCAGCTGAGATTTACAGCCTCGGATACCCAATGGAGGGTTGCTGTGAATCAGCACTGGTTCCATATCAATGAACTTTTTTATTCTTCACAAAAGCATTGGCAGCAACAACGATGTGTATGCTTGGGAGCTCTGGTGGCCTAGTGGCAAAAAGCCACATGGCAATGCTGAAGGCTCAGGCAGAGTGTGAGACCAAACCACGTAGTTTGTGAGGACCTTGCATTTGGGTACAACAGCTCTGACCAGCCTGTATGAAAAACAAAAAAACCCACCAAAACGCAAACTCACAGCCCTCAAGTGGATTCCAGCAGATATCGAGTATGTAAAAAAGAATAGAACCGGCCCCGTAGGGTTTCCAAGGCTTTAATTCTTTCCAAGATAGTAAATGTTTAAGTGGATTACCTCTTTTTCCCCCACAGAGCTGGTGTTGGATTTTTAACCTTGTAGGTCTATGTTGTTGTTGTTTACCAAAGTCAGAACAGACCAATAGCTGACCCTCCAGTGAGTTTTCAGAAGCAGTAAACCGCATAGGAGATTGCTCATCTGTCTCACACAGAGCATCTGGTGGCTTCGAACCTTGTGCCTTTGGGATTGCAAGCAAGCTTCTTGCTACTAGGCCACCAGCGCTCCCTTATAGGACCATATAGGTAAATGTAAGCTGGGTTTATGCAAAATATTTTTGTTGTTTTAACTAAGGGAATTATTTTCACTAAAAATGATTGCTGACACAATGCCCAGGAATTTCATAGGCAGTAATGTTGTGTCACTTCCTCCACACTCACCCCTAAATACCTTTCACCAAACAAGGATTCCCTGGTCCGAGTCCCCTACTAGACCAAACACTGGTACCTGGGACTCCAGCATTCCCTGTCCAGACTGCCCTCAACTTGCTTCCAGGATCTTCAGGTCTCTGGCCAAGGGCCACTTCAGTGCAGTCAGACACAAAAACAGCAGCCCAGGGACCACTATCTGGTAGTGGTTTGAGTGGGTGGCAAGAGGGGCTTGTTACATTAAAACAGCCTGTGCCTCTAGCCTGAGCCGTTGCCCTTCTCTGTAAACAAAAGCTCTGGCCTCAGTTTGCCAGGCTGAAGTTTTACGGTCAGCACTATGTCTCTGTTCCCCCCTCAAATACATGATTTCCACAAATAGTCTAGGCATTAAATTTTTACCCCATATGCCTAATCTGCAACAATAACAATGACAACGACCAAGAGAGAGCTACGTTGGCGTAGTGGAAGGAAGCTGTGCTACCAAGCTGAAGGTGGGTGATTGTCATCTGTGGCCCTTGGCCAGGTTCAAATTGTCTTCCTGTCAAACATTCTTCTAGGTGGTATAGCACTGGTCTGTGCGTTGCTGTACAGAGGTAATACGTGGTTGCTGTGATGCTGAACACTGGGACACTGATGTGCCAAACGTGGTAATGGTTACCCATGGTGGACAGTGTTTGCTGGAGCTTCTCTACTAAAATAAGCCTGGGAGCAGGAGCGGCATCCACTTCTGAAATGGCTTGTCTCTGGAAACACTGCTCAGGCCTTTCATCCGTAGGGTCGCTATGAGTCGTCTACGACTCGACGGCACCTAACAACAACAACATGCCTTTCTACTTTCTGATTTCCTTCCACCCAATGAACCCCTGGCAAGTAAGAATCAGTTTATATCAATTTCTATGTTAAATCTTACCTAACTTCCATGATCCCAATTCTTATCCACCGGGAGAGTCAGGTGCTGTTCCTTTTCTCAAGATTTCATAACACCGAGTTAAAGCACATCCACACTGTATTATTTTTATGCTCCATAGACTAGGTGGTATGAAAGCTTTTTCAGAGCAGGAAACATACTTAATCATGCATATTCAAAGTACCTAGCGCAGTGCCTCATGCCCTGTATGAAGTCAGTAAATCTTTGCATGCTATGTGGCCGTAGAAATACCAGCTCCCCCACTGACCAAGTGAACTTGAATAAATTACTAAATTCCGGTTTCCTTTCCTTTAAAATAGGAATTAACAGCATATCTTCTTGAATAGTCCCATGGATGAAGTAAATTGACCCACTGAACTGCAGCAGTGCACTGATAAATAGTAAGGGCTTGGTAAACGAAGAGCCATGATTGAATTAGTGACTATGTTCTGATTCTTGGTAACTTAAAGGAGGAACAAGATAGTCTTCAGAAGAGTGACACAATTTCAATTTGGATGAAAAAAACTTTGTAATATAGCAAAATCTTAATTGAAGTGTAAGAAGAATTCAAGTTTCAAAATTGTGTAAAGTGAAATTATACTTGGTTGGAAAGATTTATTTAGAAAGACACTAAGTAATACTTTCCAATAAATTAAAAACGTTCACAAGTCTTGGCAATCTTGGCATCAAATGGGTGAGAAAAAAAATACAATATTGATAGTCATAACCTGTATACCTGTATATTAATAAATAAAAATGGGGGGAATAAGGTATGTTTTTATAACTAACTCTTTTAGGACTTTACATAAATAAGAGTTTCATTTTTATAATTTCATATTTGATACTCCTAAAAAGGTATTATGTATATATTTCAATTTAAACTTTTTTTAAAGGAAGACAATCTTTTAGCATTTTTTAATGGAAAAATAAAGAAAATTATGAATAAGAAACAACCACCAAAAACACTGAGTTGCTAGATGGATAATATCCTGTCCACTATCACTTGTTAACGTAAATTAGAGTCTTTTTTCTATTAGCCTACTGTGTAATATTTAAAGAACTGACTTATGTATTATAACTCATCTAAATTCTGCCTTTATAAAGGGGAAAACCAAAATAATGGAATGTCATCTAAGCTTGCCAGAAAAAGGAAAATTGCTGATTTCACTGACTGAATGTTATTACTCATTATAGAATAAGATTTCTTGCCTACTTTAGTAAAGGACTTAATGATCTCAATGTTTGTTTTACAACCTGGTAAATAAAATCAAATCAATAGTCCTTTAAGGCTGCTGAAGTAAACAGCTTGTGGTCAGTTGTGAAATCAGACACTTATTTCTATAAGGTCTGAAGGCTTCTTATCTGTTAAAGTCTGCAATCTAACTACAGGAGACTATACACTTATCTATCTTCAAAGGTTAATTGTGCTACTACTATCTTTTAGTTCCTAAAAACCCATTTCAGGTTCACTTAAATCACAGAAGCTACTAAAATCTTAGAATAAATGAAGACATCTAAGGTTGAGAATGAGCAAGTTATGGGGACAGGAAATTACTGCTAGAGAATTAGGAAGATTTCAAAGGCAGGAAGTATGATCAATCTTGTGTATTCTAGCTGGTAGATGGAACATCAGTGCTAGCTTACAACGGCAGCAACAATTTCATAGTAAAATAGCTTTTGATTTCCTTTTGTGCTTACAAGAAATAGAATTTTTGCTCTTAAGACTAACACACACAGATGTGCATTCCGTATCAGAGGCCATAAAGCCTCTTTATGGAAAGAGATGGCGGAGCTTGGCGTTGAGTTCTCTCTCCTTGCTTAAAAGATCCAGGCTGTGCTTTTTAAAGGCCTCGGACTGCAGCCGGAGCTCATCATAGGCCCTCTGGATCCCATCCACCTTGCGCTGGAGTTCTCGGACTCGCAGGTTGCTGTCCACCAACACTGCCTCTTGCTCGAACCGCTCTAGAGCATGGCGCCTGGCAATGTCTGCAACCTCCAGCTTCTCCTCGAGCTGGTGGATCTCCGCCTGCTTGTTCTGGAGCACCTTGCCCCTCTCCATGGACAGCTGCAGCAGCTCCTCTTTCTCACGGGTGACGGTCTGCAGCCTGGTCTGCAGCTCCTGGCTCAGGATGCTGTGGGCCTCCTCAGCCTTGGCCATGCGCTCCAGGGCCTGCTGGTGCTGCTCCTCCAGGCTCTGTAGCTGGCTGCGCAGCTGCTCCTTCTCCTTGGCGTGGATGCTGGCCTGCTGGCTCTGCAGCTCCAGCAGCTCCTTCTCTCGAGTCTGGGCCTGGCTGGCATCCTGAACACACCTCTGCTTCAGGCTCTCCAGCTCTTTGGTGAGGCTCTTTTTTTGGCTGGTGAGCTGCAGTACTTTGGCCTCCTGGTCCTTCAGAGCCTGACTGAAGAGGTTCTTGTTCTCCAGTCTCAACTTCTCATTCTCCTCTCTGAGCTTGACATTCTGCTGCTTATGTTCATCCTTGAATCGGATCATGAGCTCGTGATTGGCTGCCAGGGTCATAAAGCGTTCCTCCCACTTCTGGGCCTGCTTACTCTGGGCTTTCAGCTTCTCAGCCTCCTCCACCCTCTTCTCCTCCAGCTCCACATTGAGCAGCTCCAGGACTTGGCAGCGCTCCAGGGCCTCATCTGACCTGCGCTTCAGGATGCAGATGAGCTGGGACTGCTCGTCCAGGCGGGAGCGAAGCATCGCCTTCTCGCTCTTCTCTTCCTCCGAGAGCTCCCTGAGATTTGCCAAGGCTTCCTTCAGACCATCCAGTTCCTTAAACTCCAGCTCCTCTTCCTGGTTTTGCAGTTGGTCATCTTCCTTCTCTAAGGGTTCCTCAGTGGTTTGGAGAGACACATTCATCCTGACAGCCTGCTCCTCTTGATGCTTGGGCACTCTCCTCCACTAACCCCTGGCTTTCCACTTATTTCTCCCTCTGTTTGGAGAGCTACAGGGAGTTGCTATGTACTCCTGGCACTCACTAGGCAGTTGGTTTTTTCCAGTACAAAGCTTTGTGATTGGTGGATAGGTCTTTGGAATGTTGTGAAGTAACAGCAGGCAGACCTGGGTGAGCCTAGGGCCAGTCTGTCTAATCAGGCTTGGCTTGGCTCTCTAATCTTCACAGTTCTCAGCCCTGTGTCTGGTCCAGATACTAAAGAATGGCCAACCTCATTCAAATTTGGAAATACAACTTGACTCTAGTTAACTCCTGGTAGTAGTAAATAAATCAGTCTGGTGGTGACATGTTCCTTTCTCTCCCTCCTGCTGTCACAAGAATAAAATTATACTTTATGGAAATATTGTTGCTGTTAAAAAATGTGTCGCCTTAAAGCATTTAAGTTAACTTTTTAAATTGGGGAAAATGTAATAAAGTAGCAGTGGTATTCTGAAAGCTGGGGCCCTAAATGGCTGAGACTGCACCTGTAGGGTTTGGCGTAGCTCAGATATCGCCTCACAGCTCTACAGCTGTGGAAGCTACAACTCCAAAAGCTTTCAGTGTGGCCGTGCTTTCTGAGCACTCGGGGAGATTTTTCACTTAGTCTCTTCCTTGCTTCTGGGAATTTATAGGAATCCATGATGTTCTTTGGCTTACATTCATCACTCAGTTTTTATATTGAAATATTAATTATCCAAAAACGTTTGGAACAATATGTCAACAGAGAACTGCCAGATGTGCAGGCTGGATTTAGAAGAGGTCGTGGTACTAGGGATATTATAGCTAATGTTCGATGGATCTTGGCAGAAAGCAAATACCAGAAGAATGTCTATCTGTGCTTCATTGACTATGCAAAGGCTTTTGACTGTGTGGATCACAAGCAGCTATGGCTGACTCTGAGAAGAATGGGAATCCCAGAACATTTGATTGTGCTAATACGAAACTTATACTTGGACCAAGAGACAGTTGTCAGAACAGAGCAAGGAGACACTACATGGTTCAAAATCAAGAAGGGGGTTCGTCAGGGATATATTCTGTCTCCATACCTTTTCAATCTGTATGCAGAACAGATCATCTGAGATGCTGGGCTATACGAAGAGGAATGTAGCATCAGGATTGGTGGAAGAATCATCAACAACCTGCATTATGCAGATGACACAACCCTGCTTGCTGAAACTGAGGAGGACCTGAAGCGCTTGCTGCAGAAGGTCAAGGACTACAGCCTCCTATATGGACTGAAGCTCAACATCAAGAAAACAAAGATTCTAACCACTGGGCCAATTGGCAGCATCAGCATGGATGGTGAAGAGATTGGGATAGTTAACAATTTTAATTTACTTGGCTCCACAGTCAACACTCTTGGTAACAGCAGCCAGGAAATCAGGAGACAAATTGCATTGGGAAAGTCGGCTGTGAGGGACCGCTCAAGAGTACTGAAGAGCAATGATGTCAGGCTGGAAACTAAGGTGTGCCTGATCCGGGCTATAGTCTTCACAATTATGTGCTATGCATCAGAGAGTTGGACAGTGAATAGGGTTGATAGAAAGAGGATTGATGTCTTTGAGCTGTGGTGCTGGAGATGAGTGTTGAATATACTATGGACTCTTTGTCCTGGAGTGGGTGAAGCCAGTGTCCCCTGGGGTCAAGGATTCTGAAGCTTGGTCTGACATATTTTGGGCATGTTGCAAGGAGGGACTGGTCCTTGGAGAGGGACATCATGTTTGGCACAGTGGAGGGGCGGCAAAGGAGAGGAAGACCTTTGATGAGATGGATCGATTCTGTGACTGGAGCTGTGGGAATAAGTGCATATGAGATGGCTAGGTTGGCAGAGGATAGAACAGCATTTAGAGCTCTTGTACATAGGGTCGCTATGAGTCGCAAGCAACTCGATGGCACATAACAACAACAACATGGCATATCTTCCCCTAGAACTATTCCCACCTGGGAATAAATCTTATTTTCACAAAGATTTTCACCACTAGGCCAATTGGAAGTATCATGATAGATGGAGAAGAGATTGAGATTTTAAACAATTTCAGCTTGCTTGGATCCATGGTCAACACTAGCAGTCAAGGAATCAAAAGATCAATTGCACTGGGAAAATATGCTGTCAGGGCCCTCTCCAGAGTAATGATGCCAGTCTAGAGACTAAGGTGTACCTGATACAGACCCTGGTCTTTGTAATTACCTGCTACACATCAGAGAGCTGGACAATGACTAAGGATGACAGAAGAATTGATGCCTTAGAATGGTGGTGGTGAAGAGTATTGCATATTCCATGGACTACCAAGAGAACAAACAGGTTTGTCTTGGAGAAGGTGAAACCAAGTTGCTTCTTGGAGGCAAGGATTGTGGAGCATCCTCTGATATACTTTGGACATGTTGCCACAAGGGACCAGTCTTTGGAGAAGGGCATCATGTTTGGAAGGGTGGAAACACAGCATGAGAGAGGAAGACCCTGGATGAGATGGATTGACACAGTACCTGAGATAATGCCATTGAGTCACTTGAGACTCATAGCGACCCTACGTACAATAGCTCTGGACCCTGCTCTATCTTGAGCCAATTTCATTGTCTCTGACACACCTACCCCATTATTACCCCAGTCACTGAGCCAATCCATCTCATCTAGGGACTTCCTCTCTTGTGCTGTCCCTCCACCCCTCCAAACATGATGTCCTTCTCCAAGAGCTCATCCTTCCTGGCCTTAAATATGGCCCAAAGTATGTGAAATGGAGCTTCAGAATCCTTGACTTCAAGGAGCAGCGTGGTTTCACCCTCTCCAGTACAGACTTGTTTGTTCTTTTAGCAGTCCATGTATTCATTACTGTTTTCTAGCACCACAACTCAAAGGCATCAATTCTTCCATTATCCTTAGTAATTTTCCAGCTCTTTCATGTATAGTAAGTATATAAAGCCACAGGCTGGTTCAAGTTCACCTTAGTCTCCACACTGACATTGTTGCTCTTCAGTACTCTGGAGAGGTCCCTGACAGCCTATTTTCCCAGTGCAATTCATCTTTTGATTTCTTGGCTGCTGGTACCAAGAATTGTGAAGCTAAACAAGCTGAAGCTGTTCAATTTCAATCTATTCTCTATCTTGGTGTTGTCAGCTGGCCCAGTGGTAAGAATCTTTCTTTTCTTGATGTTGAACTTCAGTCCATAATAAATGCTATAATCCTTGCTATGCAGCAAATGCCTCAGATCCTCCCTTCGGCAAGCAAGGTTGTGACATCTATATAATGCAGGTTGTTGATGAGTCTTCCTCCATTCCTAATGCTACAGTCTTCCTCAGAGCCCAGATTCCTGGATAATCAGTTCCACATACAGATGGAAAAGGTATGAAGATAGATACATTCCTAGAATACACCTTTCTTAATTTTGAACCATGCAGTGTTTCCTTGCTCTGTTCTGAGCACTGTAAACACTAAAACCAAAAAGACAATTCAACAGGCTCAGAAACCTTCCAACAGTTCACTGAAGAAGTCAGGTTACCCACATTTTTCCCCTCTTCTATTTTGATTCTCACCACTGGGTCAATTAGTAGCATCATGATTAATGGTAAAGAGATTGAGAATGTTGACAGCTTCAGTTTGCTTGGCTCTACAATCAACACTCTTGGTACCAGCAGCCAGGAAATTAAAAGATGAATTGCATTGGGATAGTCTGCTGTCAAGAGACTACTCCATGCTACTGAGGAGCAACAATGTCAGTCTGGGGATTAAGGTGCATGTGATACAGGCAATAGTCTTTGCAATTACTTGCTATGCATCAGAGAGCTGGGCAGTGACTAGGGATGATGGGAGAATTGATGCCTTTGAGCTGTGGTGCTGGAGAATATTATTGAATATACCATGGACTGCTAGCAGAAGAAACAAGTTTGTTGTGGAGAGGGTGAAGCCAGACTGCTTCTTGGAGAAAAGGGTTCTGAAGCTTTGTCTGACATACTTTGGACATGTTGCAAGGCAGGATCAGTCCTTGGGGAGGGACATTATGCTTGGGAGTGTAGAGGGACAGTGCAGGAGAAGACTCTTGATGAGATGAATTGATTCAGTGACTGGGGAAATGGGGATAGGCATGTCAGAGACAGTAAGATTGGCAAGGGATAAGAGCAGGGTTTAGGGCTGTTGTACATAGTGTAGCTATGAGTCATAGGCGACTCGACAGTACATAACAACAATTTTGATAAGATTAAATGCACAATTTCTGCTTCAAAACAATATAGCATATAATCTCTTTGAACTTTGTGAGGCAGCAATCTGACTCATAGTGACCCTCCATCAAGTTTCCGAGGCTGCAAGTCTTATTGGAAGACTGTCCACTTTTCTTACTTGGAGTCACTGATGGATTTGAACTACTGGAGAAGAAGAGCATTTGAGTTAGCAGCATAACTCCCTAAGGGCTACCAGAGCTCTTTCCACAAGGTAATTACCAAGCATATCTTTTGTAGCAATGCAGATGAAGAGAGGTGCTTCATGAGGGATACTTGTGTTTGTAGGTAAATGATCATAAAAAAAGGGTAAGAGATCTGAGGATGAAAGACGGTAAGCAGCCTTGTTCTTAGGTGAAATCAGTTTTATTAGTGCTTTAGAACTGATGATGCTGGATAGCTTTTGAGTAACTAAATGACAGATTTTTGTTAAGTGCTATCAACTCAACTATAATTCACACTGATCCTATGAACAAAGGATCTGAACCTTGCCCTATCCAGTGTCATCTTCATCATATCTGACATTCTCCACACCATTGATACAGTGTTGTGTCAACCCATCTTCCTCCAGACAAAAAGAGTTGAGAAATTCACTTGATCTGCTACTTGGCATAAGCTGGGGCAAGGTTCATGCTTCTTTAACTGGTATAGGCCAACCTTGAAGAGGGGCCATTCATTCAGCTAATTCTGCCCAGAAGAAAGATCAGAAAGATGGAACAGAGACAGACTGAACATCCTATTAAAAGACTTTGGGACACCAAAGTAGGTGTTTTGGGTTCATCCTGTTAGTGCAAAGAGGGTCAGGAGTTCTAACAACTCTGTGGAAGAGAAGACAATATTTAGATGTTTATTGGGAGATTCATGCTTCTCCACCTCCCAGGCTTTCCCTGAATGACATTAAAATCAGTGCTTGTTTAGAGAAAGGCAAGCCAGTTAGGAAGTGATGCTTTATGGAGTAAAAGAGTAAGAAATAAAAATCTCCATGGAAAACCCTTCTGTTTTGTTTTTCTTCATTGCTTTTCAATTATTTGTGGGAGGGGAACAACCCACCAAAATGTTACTCTTAGTTATACAGACAAAACTTTCCTGTAAGGAGAAATGAGGCCCAAATTTATAGTTGAAATTATCAAGAAAAAATGGTGCAGAGGAATTTTTTCAGACTTGTTATAAAAGAATTTAGATTTTAGGATCCCTAACACAGAATAATTAATTGAAAATACTAATTAAGGATAGTTAGCCAATTGAAATGATATAATTTATTCTAAGTGTTTCACAAGGTATTTTATGAAAATTATACATAAATAGAATGTACAATACAATTTAGCAATTTACAGTCTATGTAAAACTTGGCTGCATACAGTAAAGTTTAAAAATTCTCACATGTGAAGGTTTTTTAAAAAATACTCTATTTTAAAATGCAGGCTTAAGGCCTATTTTATGGTGGAATTAAGCCTAACCAAGCCAACCACTGATTTCCACCTGTTTCCAGTAGGTGGCATCAAAGCACATATGAGACTTTTAATAGGGAAAAGGAAAGCAGCTTTTCAAGGCAGAAATACACGCAATAAATTCAGTCTTGAAGCTTAAATGTAAAGTTTAATATCTTAAAAGATATTACAGAGTAAACAGTTTTTTTATCATTGGTGTGTTCTGCCGTCCCCTCCCTTAAGACTCATGCCAGTTATCCATAATCTTATTTACAATGACCAAGCTTCTCAATGACCCCTTCTCCGGAGAACAAAGCTGTTGAGTGGAACACATGTGCACAAATTAGAAAATTCAGCTTGTTAACAATTTCCTACATTTAATGTTTTTGGGAGCTGAAACAGGTTTTTCTAACATATCATGTATCTTTAACATTGGAATCACAAGTCAGTCACATTTAAATTGATCATTATAGGTAGTCCCCAGGTTACAAATGTCTGACCAACTTACAAACTACTTACAAAATAACACTCATAAAGCTCACCGTATTAAAAATCTGAGGTAAACACAGACGTTCATAATAATAAGCAGGTGCTACTCTGTGATGCTTATCAAGACATTATGTTCAAGGTGGTTTAGTGTATCTGGAGTGTTTTTTCAGATTTTTTGAAACAAAAAGTTCTACTACATACTATACAATAAGATGGACATTTGATTGAAGCTAGACATGAGCCACACCTAACTATGAAAGACAGACTTAGGAACAGAACTCATTCACAATCTGGGGACCACTTGTATTAAATCCCATGGGTTTTGTAACAATGACAACAAAAAAGCACATGCAGGTTGATTTTAACATGTTATGGCATATTCCTTAGCAGACCCTGAGGATCCCTAGTCACACACGTTTCCAAGACTGGATTCCTGTTTAGTTTTTGGTAGAAGAGTCAGTGGACTTTGGGCTCATTTGGAAATCTTGGCAATGAGCAGCATTCTGAGAGGCAGCGTCGCTTCAATCCACGTATTGGGGGACTCTACCATCTTCTCCCAGAGAGCAATTTCCTCTGAAGTAGAGTCCATCCAGTCTACCTCAGTACCATAGCTTTTACCTGAAAAAAAGTAAGTAGAGTCATTTTTACATTTAAGAATAAAGAACTCATAGGGGAGGTGGAGAGGGAAAGGGTCATCTTGTAGTGTAAACTGCCTATAAAAGACAGCTAGGCAGAGTTTTACACACTACTGGGAGAGAAAACTGGGACTGAACATAAGAAGGAACTTTTAAATATCTATGTTTATTAGGGAGAATGGGGTGGAGCTCCCCGATTAAAACAAGCTTGTAAGGAGGAGTGGCATCCACTTCCGTAATAGCTTGCCTCTGGAAACCCTATGAACCTGGAGAGAGGATGAAAGGCACCCAAGCGTCTAGGACTCTCCTTCATAGGGTCGCTAAGAGTCACTTGCGACTCGATGGCACTTAACAACAACAACAACAACAACATGTTTATTAGGGAGCTCGGCTTGTTGTTAATTGCCATTGAGTAGAGCATGACTCATAATGACCCTATGAACAAAAGGCCTGAAGCCTTTCTATAACTGTTGTCATTTACTGAAGTTCACAGAGTTTCCAGGGGCATGGTGTTTAGGAAGTGGATGCCACCCTGCTTCCAAAGTGCTAAGGAATTGCACTGCCAACCTAAAAGAACATGGTTCAAATCTACCAGCTCCTGGAGGAAGAATGTTGTAGTTGCCCCCAGGCCTGATCACTCCTTGAAGAAATCTGATAATGTCTAAGGGGACCAGACCAGACCAGACAATGGATCCTGATAAGGCTCTGGGCCTATCACAAAAGTCCATACCCAAGTTAATGAACAGCCCCAAATTCCAAGCAAAAGACCATCTTCCCTACTCCTCCCTAAAACACTTATAAAAAGGAACTGTCCTTTTTACTTTGACTTTGTGTGGTCACTTAACATCCCTCACAGATCATGCAAAAAACACCTGTTCTTTTCTTGGGACCAGCTTCCTTCCTTCCTTCCTCCTTTTCTCTCTTTCTTTCTCTCTCTGTCTCTTTATTTTTTTTTTTCTCTCTCTCTCAACTCTTTTTCTATCTAACAGCTGCTCTGCAGGAGAAGGAGGGAGAATCTCCTCCCCTGTGATTTACTGCCTCTGAAAACCCACTGGAGGGTCAGCTATCAGTTGGTTCTGACTCATAGTACATAACAACAACAGATGTTTACTAAAAGGGCATCTCAGTTTGGGGATTATTTCAATCACTCCCAGAGTAATGACTTCTCCACATTAGTAGAAAGATTAGATGATAATCCATCAGGAGCATGTGAGAGGGTGGAGGATTCCTGGATTGAGTTTGAGGTGACAACCACAGGATCTCTGAAAAAGTATGGTTATGGCAATAATCTTGACTCTGTCCCTTACTAATTTACTTAGTTTCTTGGAAGATCTTTTCCTCTCACATAGAAAGCAGGTAACATTCATTTGTAAATGCCTCGTAAGACAGTGATGAGGATCAAATGAAATAATGTAAACATAGCACTTATCACAGTGCCCAGAGTCTAAAAACCCACCAAGTCAACCCCACTGTCATGGAGTCAATTCTGACACTCAGGAACTCTATCGGACATAGTAAAACTGCTCACAGGGCTTCTAAGGTTTGAAATCTTTATGAAACCCACTGCCACATCTTTCCCCCATGAAGCAACTAGTGGGGTCAGCAAGTGGCTGAGCATTTCAACCACTGCACCACCAGGGCTCCATAGAGCGTATTAAAGGCTCCATAAAGTATCAGAACATGACTTTAGGAAAAAGTCATTGCTAGATCCATCTTGAAGTACAATACTGTCAGTGACAGGATAATATCCATACGCATACATGGAAGTCCAGTGAATACCACTATCATTCAGATAAATGCACCAACAACCAGAGCCAAGAAAGAGGATATAGAAGATTTT